AAACACAGAACTCCTCTTCTCTGTTCCCTGTGATTCCTAAATAGGATCTTTATTCCTTGTGTTATACCGGGGGCGGAGGGGCAGTTTACAGGCCACACACTTAACGAAGGGGGCACCATGTTAAGGGTGAATAGACAATGGTCATATTGCTGTGTGGTCATTCACAAAACTGGTTTTCAAAGGCTCTCTGTGCCCTTTGTGCAGCTACATCGGACAACTATGCACATCACTGATGGGGAGCATAGGATATTTGCATAAATCACATGGCTTAAAGCCTAGGAATCAGGGTATGCCCTATCCCTAAGCTGAGTCCCACTCAGGACTAGCTAACAGTAACTGGTAACTATTCATCTATTTTACAGGGAAAATTCGTAACACAGAATGAAGCAACAAAGTAGCAGATGTTCCAGCATTATCACTGGTAGCAAGAAAGAACTGAGGGTGGGGGAAGCTGGAGGTGCGCCTTATACTGTGGCATATGTGCACCACTCCAGAGGTGCTCCCCTACAAATACTACTGTGTGAAAAACTTGCAGCACTGGTGCATGTATAAGAAGCACACACCTAAAATGGAATGGACACAACCAAGCACTCAAAGAAGAACTAGAAATCTCCTTAAACTCTCACTCTACAATTAGTCAAATACTAATGAAGAGAGTCAAGAAGGCCTTTTTAAAAAATTAACAGAAGCCCTTGTGAGGACACAAACTCATTATCAATGCTTTCAATTAGCTTTCTGTTCCTCTCATTACCTTTATGAGGCAGATATATCACAAGTACAATTATTTCATAATTCTGAAAAGGTCTCACAGAAAGACATTTCAAGTGATATCAATAAGGAGTGATACAAATTAAGAGCATTACAATGGATAAGCTTTTTTACAGTAAAAATTAAGAATTGCTTATTATGTAGTTGCATAATTTGAGTATACCCTAAAGAAAACACAAAACTACTATTCTGCTTAAGTTCTTGTACGTAGGTTTGTGGTCAATACAGTTCTTTAGAAACTCATGTACAAATACATCAGGCTTTTATATACATTTAACAACGGTATACACAAAAAACACAGTTTCCAAAGCCAGAACTTATTTACTCCATTACTATTACCACCAATCTAAAAACTCTACTTTACTTTTGAGTTTGTTAACAACGAATGATACTACTTTCAGGAAATACTAAGTAGTGGTTCTTTCTTTAAAGTTCAGTATTTTTCCCAGATCTCTTCTCTGATGTAAGAAAGATGTTTTTTTAAACTCATGATGTTTAAATGGATATTTAACCCATGAACAAAGTATAGCATTTCTGTACTTAATAGAAAAATGTTTAAAATAAAAATGTCTTAAATAGTATAGTTTCCTGGAGCACAAATATGACTGTAGCAAAATAAACCTATTGAAATCATACACAGTAAACAAAATGAGTTAAATGAAAAGATATTACAAAAACTGACAATGAATGGTGAAAACAAGCAACAAGATTTTTTTGTAACCAAACCACTGCAATGCTGTAGTAACAATGTTCTATAAAATGTGAAACTACAAGATTAATTAGCTCTAATTCAATCCTCAAGTGGCAATCCACTGACAATGCACTATAAATAATTAATAGGAATACTAGATAAAAGGGTTTCTTTTTTGATCCTCTAACAGGGTCTCAAGTATTGGAATGAAAAAGAGGGAGCATGGAAATATGTAAAGCACAACTGTGATGCATTCTCTAGAAGGAATTTTGAGGAAGTATGCAACTCCATTTAATGTATTGACTCCTGAACAGTCTTGAATTAACTGCAAATACCATATACTAAGTGCAACTCACAGATCCTTACACAAGTTACAGCCTCTAGGCAGTTATGAAGCCTTCGTGTTACATTCATAAGATAAAAATAGTCAAGAAAGAAAAGATGGGCTATATTTTGTAAATCAGTTTGACATTTCATTTTCTCATAATAAACATAATGCAAAAGAAATGTACTTATTAGGAAATATTTTCACTAGAGGTAGTTTTCTCTTTTAAAAAAAAAAAAAGTCTGAGTTGACAGCTACGTAATTCAGGGTAATAATACATTTGTAAATATTATTCTAGGAATTCCTCAAAACTTCATTCCAAGCTACAAAGTTTGTCATTTTTTCCCCAAGATGAATTCGAGGGCTATGCATTCACTTATCACAAAACTGACCAGTTTTGCCTGTTTGGTTTTTCCTTTGATATTTACATATCCTCTGCTTCTTGTTTCCTGCCCCCTTCCTTTTTTTCCCCCTTCCTCTCTCTCCCTTCTCCCCTATTTATTTTGGATCTGGACATCCAGAACTCAAAACTCCAGTCATCTGAAGAAGTGGGTTGTGCCCATGAAAGCTCATGATACCATCTATATGTTTTATTAGTCTATAAAGTGCAACCAGACTTGTGTTGTTTTTTAAGTTTATCAAAAAAAAAATTGGTTCATCAAACCCTAAAGGAAACCAAGTTGGATTCATTTTATCATGCTGCAGATACAAAAAGTCAACTTTGGTGGGGAATATATATGGTGTTGACCTCTAACTGCACTGGGATAAATGCTACCTAAAGTTGAGTCTTCACTAACATTTTACAACAATATGCATTAGTTATCTCACCATAGTTGTGTCACCATAAAAACACAACTTTGTGGCAGTGATGACATAAATGTTGGTAGTGTTTATACCCCTGGTTGGGTTCAAAAGCTGGCATTTGGGGTGTGTCCAATCTAGACTTTACAAATGTATTAATTACCTCAGTGGTAATCTATTAACCTGAAATACATCTTTAGTGAAAACATTCTCCTAGCGCACATGAACAATGGCCTCCCTCAAATTAAAACAATCACAGAAGTGCCATCATTTACTGTAGTTGTAGTTGGGCATTGTATAAA